TCCGCGCCGGCCGCACGGGCCCCGCGCCCGCCGCCCGCACCCCCGGGCCCTACATGAAGTATGTCTGCCACCAGCGTCGACCCTCAGGTGAGCGCCGGACCGCCACGGGGTCCCCCTCCCCCACCCTCCTCCTCCTCCTCCTCATTGTCCTCCTCCTCTTCTTTCAGCTCCTTCTTCTTCCTCATCTTCATTTTCCTCCTCCTGTTCCTCCTCCTTCTTCCTCCTCATCTTCATTTTCCTCCTCCCGTCTGTGTCTGTCCGTCCCTCTCCTTCCCAATATTCCCACCCCAAGACCAGCTGCAGGTAAGGCCAAATCGCCCCTCCCCGGCAAGTGTGCTGCCCCCAGGACGGCTGCTGTGGGCGCTCTGCAGATCCAGGCCAGCCTCCTCCATGCAAGCCCCGAGCCTTGGAGGTTTAGGTGCACGCTGTGTTGCTTGATATTAGCCAAAAAAGCACCTGCTTATACATGGTCTGTGCATGGTATGAAGTCTAAAGCCTGATGGGGGGTGGGGGAGGATGAGGTCTGCTCAGGTCATTCTCCACCTCAAACTTTTGGGTTCTACAAAAGCATTTCACAAAACTGATTGGGTTTCCTCTCTCTTTCTACCCCCCCCCCCTTTCTCCTGGCATCGCAGAGACCGAAAGGACAGGAGAATAAAGGTAAGGGGGGCAAAATGTTAAGGGGGGGATGCATCTTTCTGTTTGGATCTTATTTAAATGTTTGATGCCAGCTGGCAGACCGCAGTGGGCAAGCAAGTCAGTAATACTGTGGTTTCTCATTGGCAGAGTTGGGAGCCGAGCTTGTTTGCTTGCTTGTGCGCTTTCTAAAGGATGGGATTCCTCGCATGTGTGTGTTTTGAGCGTTTTTATTTTGATGTTTTGTCCACATAAGGCTGGATGGTCATTCCTGCTTGAATTTGCCTCTCTTTTAAAGATGCCTTAAATAAGGCTACTGATTACAAACACAGTGTGGAAGATTCTTAAAAGACAAATTAAAAACACAAACATACACCCAGGGTTGCTTCTGCTATATCAGTATTGCTCTGTCACTGGACTGGATTTGGCAGGTGTCTGACAGCTGGTGTGTACAACTCTTTTCCTACAAGTCATTTTAATCAAACAGGACAAGTACCTGTAATAAGCCGGTATGACAGTGCGTATGACCTTCTTTATCAAAAATTTAACTTTGCCAGCAAGTTGTCTCATGAGTAACTAGCCTAGCTGTAAGTCAGTTATGTTACTGTAATAATAGACTTATTTATAATAGTTATGAATAATGACATACTCGTTAGCATGGAAGCAGGTCCACTCATTAGTTTACATAGGCATAGGTCTGCCATACAAATATCCTTCAGATTTCATTTTTCATTGTTTTTCAAACCACTGTAGTCTCAACAAGTTTCAGATTATTTCCCCTGCTCTATAAATGCATTGAGTTATGTTATGCATACTGTTCTATTTTCCTTGACAGCTTTTCCTGAACTTATTTTACTTGTACCCATTTTAAATCACTATTTTTGTCATTGTTTAAAAGAATTGCATTTGTATTTTTCTTTTCTCTGGCATTGTTTTTAGTTTAGCCTTTCTGTGAAACTGTTGGACTACTTTGCAAAGACTTAATGCATGCAGCTTGCTTTATGCTTCACAATAACTGACAAAAATAAAGTGTGATGCAATTTAAATAACCATTTTGCATTTTTTATTTAGCACCTTCCCAGTGTGCCTTTTAGAGAGCTTTGCAAATGTTTACCCTGAAATGTCCCTTTGTTTTAGCTAGGTATTTCCAGTTTACAGCTGAGGAAAGTGAAGCTTAAGATAGCATTTTGATGCATTTTCCAAGCAATACACCCAACAGCCATTATTTTATCACTGCTGACACAACTTTTTAAAGAACTGCTCAGTATGAACTGCAGATGTTTGTTATTTGTACTGTCATAGGCATGGAGTAGGGACACCTGTTATTGCTATGTCCTCTAGTCATATTCACACATTCTTCTCAAGAAATGCCTTTCTGTGATTCTAACATTTCCTGGAGATAACATGCATGTTCACCCTTGTTAAAATGGCAGGTTCTTCATTTTACTATAACTTGCAAGCTGTAGGAAAAAACTGAGTATGAGATGTTCTGAAATTGTCATTCAGATTAGTTTTGGAAGCAGTAATGATTTTCAGAGTGTACTGGGAAACTTTCATTTTAGAGAAATCTGACCCCTTTCCTTGTCAAGGATTAATGACAATGTCACAAGAAGGATTTACTGTACTCTATTTTTTTACAGTTAATTTAGGATGAGGTTCTTCATTGAAATGTTATTAAACAATGTAATAACATATTGCAATTTTTTTGTTTTAGTACAAAATGGTTCATTACATCAGAAGGATACAGTTCATGATAACGACTTTGAACCTTACCTTTCTGGACAGTCAAATCAGGTTAGTGTATCTTGTGTTAACTTACCTTTGTTTCTAAGGTATAGATTGGGCATAGTAAGGTATGTGGCAAACACTACTATGGCTCTCCTATGCTCATAACTCCCAAAGTCTGTGAGGCTTTAAAAGGGAAATAGAAAAAGAAACAGCTCCAGTGCATTAAGTATTACTGAGTACCGCTACTAGCACTTTAGCTTAGAGTGCTGGTATTATCCAGCTTTGTCACAAGTGAAAATGAAGGTAATGGTCCAGGTCTAGCTTGTTTTATACTTTCCACATCAAAGCGTTATTGTAAAATCTCACATACTTGCTTCTTGGTAAGGCCTTGGTTTTGCAGTTCTTCAGTAGTCAGAGCACCTGTTACAGTCACTGAGAGATTCTGCTTTTATATGCACCTGGTAACGATTATGATTTGAAGTTTGCACAGTAGCTCTATTTGCTTACTACCTTTCAGCAAATATCATTTCTTCACATACATAATCTGATTTTTTTTTTTTTTTTTTAGAGTTCATATGTTTTTATTTATTCAATTAATGTGCCACTGTTCCCAACAAAGTTTCAGGATGGCTTACAGTAAGAAAACAGAAACAGCTTAGCATGGAAATATAGTCTAAAATACTAAATTAAACATGTGCACCTTCATTTTAAGAGTAAGGCAATGTGATGTAAGACTTGAATATTACATACTGCTTCCTGCTAATATGTATTGATACAGTGCCTATGACTTGCAGGATACTTTCCAGTAGAACGTTATTTTATTTTAAACAGAAGCAGTGCTGCTTAAGATGGTTTTAAATGAGAGCAGAGAAGATGAGGTGCCTCAGAACTAGAGGTGTGAAAATTATTGGATTACATCCTTCCCTATATTCCTCAAATGCAGAATAGCGTGCCTCTTGGTCCGTAATTGTTCTGTTGCTCCTTTATGAGAAGGGCTGAACAGATATTTAAGGAGAGCATAATACAGTGGTCTCTGCAACTGATGTACAGTACACTAGCTAAATATCTCTAACATCTTGGATTGGGTTCTCTTATTCTTGTTTAAAGAACCTTCTCTAAAACTGTGCATAGCAACATCCTAGTATTCTTATAAGTGAAAGTAGCTATTTAATTTTAATGTTTGGCTTGTTTTGAACCTTGCAGAATGAATTTTGTATTTTTGTATCTCAAAGTGCGGTTTTTCACAGGGCAGTTACAGACTGATTTTCAGTGAGATCAGATAGGACTGATAAGGTCTGTAGCAGCAACCTGTTGCAGGGTTGTGCTGGCACTGCAGAATTCAGCATAAACTAGAGGTACCTGGACTAGCTCAGGTACTGGAAGCAGTTTGGTTGCAGCAGCAAGTTAATGAGTCCTTACTGTTCACTGAGCTGTTGTAGCTAAACTTGCACTTGCAGATTATTCCATCCTAGTATGTGGTCTAGACCAAGAGTAGAATTTGCTTAAAATATGCCTGAATAACTAAAGCTTATTGTGAAATTAAAGTATATTAGAATATATGAACAATATTAAATAGTGAGTAAAAACTTAGTGACTTAGAAATGCAGTTTATCGTTGTTTTGATACAAATTTACAGATTTAGAAAATGAAGTATAACTTCAGTATCTTTTCCTAACTTTTTTTCTATGTTGGAGAACCCCCAATCCCTCATTATTAGAGGTGTCCATTTTTCCTTTTTTTTAAAGGTAGGTTGGGAGCAGCAGGTTTAGAATAATAGTGGCTGTTGCAAATGGAAATTGAGGGTATGGTATCAGACTGTAGTGCTTGTAGGGTTCCTAAGCAGTAAGAACATTTCTTACAGTATTTCAGATGGCTAAGAATTGATATTGAATGCTGTACAATATCCAAGGTAAAAAAAAAAAAAAAAAAAGTTGTAGGAAAAATCCTAGTTCAGATATACAACTAATCAGAATGAAAAGATCTTGCATAAATAGTACACTGTATGACAATGAAGCAAAGCACTCGGGCAGATAAAAGGGATCCATTCTCAATTAACTCAAAGGGTTAGTAAACAGTGAACTAGAGAAGAGGCTCTAAAAGGTCAAGGATAAGTCTGTTGAGATAAATTACGGCTGTTGCACTAAAGAACTTCTATCAGGGTTTCTCCTAAACCCTGTGGCACAAAGCCAAACAAAATAGATTGAATGTTTTGCAAATACATCTGGTGAAACTTTTTTATCCTGTTAGGGTGCTTGTGGAAACTTTCCATGCTGGGTAGCTAGACAGTGACAGTTCAAGGAATCCTGGTAGGATGGCTCAGAGAACAGAAATATTTTTGGGGACAAAGCACCTGCTAATCTCAATCACTTGCACTCTAGGTTTCTTTTAGCTGGGCCTATGTAAAATCTAACTGTTAAAAGCACACACAGATATATGAGCTAAGAACAAGAGTTAATTCTTCGTGGTAAGAAACCACTTCCACTTCTGTATTTTCTTATGGGTGCTTATATTTTGAAGATAGCATTTGCTGATGCTGTTGTATTCCAATTGAGCTATTCTGCAGAGAATGTGGAAATTCCATTGATGTACCGTTCCTAAGGATTTCTCTCTTCTGTCCAATCGAGTCTGCCATTCTACACAATTTATGTGGGATTAATTGGCCTTCCTAGTGGTTTAAAGACTAGGCATTTAATATTCAGAATAAAATAGACCAGGTTAACTGTGAAAGCTAGCTTTAAATAGGTAAGCATGATTTAAGTCTGCAGAGTCCAGGATGTGGAATCTGCTTTCCTGTGAAATCAATTTATCTTTCTCTGCCCCTCCCCAACTGTGGAACAATGTGCATGAAACTTCTAAAATATGTTTCTCTTAACATATGTGTATGTTAAATAAACTAATTTGTATTGTTGGGGGGGGAATATGGGCAGTGACATGCTTTGATTTTCAGTTGATAGTTGAAACTAATGAACTTGCTATGGCTCAAAAATTTCCAGAAAATATTTTGGCTACAAGTTTAAGAAAAACACACAAGCAAAGAAAAAAAAAATATGTCTGTAACCTGGACAAAGTAGGATTTTAAGGAATCTCTTGATGTTCAGGAGTCCCCAGGGGCCTCCCAACTTGACTGGAAATGCTGGAATTTTGCCCCTTGTCACTACCCTTGTCCCCCCGTGTAAAGGATCATACAGAACACTTTTGTTTGCAATATCGGGGGTAGAGATGAAATGAGGAAACATTCTGTTGAGTTTTGACCAGTATCTTACTTTTTTCATGCTGTCCCTTTTGTCTTTCTCTGGCTTAAGGTCTTGCCATCATTTTGCATGTCAGTGTTTGTTTTGTTGTTTTTGGTTTTTTTTCGCTTGTCATATTATAGGAGTGGCTTGTTTCTAATCAGAGGTACCTCTGCTTTTGTTGCTCTTGATATTATTATTATTTTTTTTAATGGCTGCAGTTGAAGCCCTGACTTCTGACTGAAGCCACTGACTTTCAGACCAAAGTGACTAGTTCATGCAGTAATTTACCATGCCTAGAATGTCTTTGGGAAAGGTAGGTTCACAACTAGTAAATACTGGACAAGATGCAAGATATTATTTAAACATATTAAATAGTGTTAATCTTAAGATTTATTTTTCATGTAAACTTTACCAATAACCTCATCTTAAACATGTCACGTAATGTTTAGTATGCATTTGTACTTGGATACTATTGTGTATAAAGAAGGCAATGGAGAAAATGGACATTAGCTGAAAATTTGTAGAAGTGTAGAGGGAAAAGTCTTGATAATCTGACCCTAAAAAGCAGTTGAAAAGGGAAGGAGGAACCAGGAAGGGTTCATCTCTCTCAGTTTTAATGATGGAACTGTTTGGCTGTCTTTCCATGGACCTCCATCCAGTCTTGAACCCAAGTTCTTTAAGGAGATCTATGGTCTAGGTTCTCTATATGTATATAGTGCTGCTATAGAAGGAGAAAGTTAAGGTAAATTACAGAACCCAAACTCTGAATTTTTAGATCCTTTTCCTTTTCAGAGTCTTATTTCATGTCTCTCAAGTTTTGTGTCTTATTAAAACATTCAGACTGTGTATGTAATATAATACAGCTACTCCCTGCTTAATATCATAGTTACGTTCTTGAAAAATGCAACTTTAAGCAAAACTATGTTAAGCAAATCCAGTTACGTCACAGTATTTACCTACTAGCAGATGGCGACCAAATATTATAACTGAACATCGTGCAACTTTAAACGAGCATATTATTTAATAGATCAGTGACATAATAATGAAACAACATTAACCGGGATGACGTTAAGTGAGGAGTACCTGTAGTCATCTGTACAATACTAACTCCACCTAAAGAATGGCTTCTGTCAGTGGAAAAAATGAGAGCAAGAAATTAGGTTTTATTTTACTTATATATTCTTTTTTAATGGAGGAAAATTATTTTTGAAGTGGTGTTCTATTTTCTGCTGCATCCCTAAATCAAATGATGATTTCTAACTTCCTTTTTGACATAAAAAGTATTCTGAGAAGACAGATGCCTGTTCTTTATACTGTGTGTGTATGTGTATATATATGTGTGTGTGTGTATATATATACACACAGACCAAGTTATGAATTCTCCAAAAACAAACTCTTTTGCTAGTCTGCTATGGATAACTGGTTGCCTGTATTGAATATATTAATATAATACTTAGTAAAAACACGTGACAAAAATAAATAATTTGTTTTGCATCTCTTAGGGTTGTAAACCTGCCCATTTCTTCATCTTTCATTTATTTGATGGTTTGGGGGTTGCATTAATTTTGTTTTTTTGTATGTTGCTATGATATTTGTGTAGCTATAACATTAATTTCAGTGCTAAGTCTGATGGAATTCTTTCTAGTCTTGTTCCTGGATCTTAGTAGCATTTTTTTTTTGCCTTTGCATTTTTCAAAATTGTTTTAAATAATCTTTGCATAACACATGGGTAAACAAAATATCTTAACCTTTGAACAGCATACAAGTTCAAAGTATATTAGAATCATACTTGTCAACTAAATATTTCTGAATTACAAAAATTGCACTGTCTCATGATTTTTAGCCTATAAAATTAAGCTATTTTTTTTTCTGTGGGGCAGTAAAAGGGATTTTGCAAGTCATGGCTGTACTAGCTTTCATCTGAGACTGGTGTTCAAAGCTCACTAGTAAGTGAAGAAAGAAAATGCCTCTCCACTTTAGGAATGTAAGAGAAACACTGCCATAAACTTGGACTGTTCATGGAATAAGAAATTACAAAATTTTGAGGCTGAAATGAGGGAATTTGGAATAGTGTTATTGCTTACATTTTGAGCCCAGAAATGTCTGTTTTGCTTATATGCCGTGCTGGTTTTGTAAACAACTTCTTATATCTGAAATTCCCTCCTGGTTTTTTTCTTCTTCTTTAACAGAATAATAGCTATCCGTCAATGACTGATCCCTATTTGTCCAGTTATTATCCACCATCTATTGGGTTTCCCTATTCTCTCAGTGAAGCACCATGGTCTACTGGAGGAGATCCTCCTATTCCATACCTCACCACCTATGGACAACTCAGTAATGGAGATCATCATTTTATGCACGATGCTGTATTTGGACAGCCTGGGGGCCTGGGAAACAACATCTACCAACACAGATTTAATTTTTTCCCGGAAAATCCTGCTTTCTCAGCTTGGGGAACAAGTGGATCCCAAGGACAGCAGACTCAAAGTTCAGCTTACGGGAGCAGTTATAGCTACCCACCCAGTTCACTGGGTGGCACTATTGTGGATGGACAGACAGGATTTCATAATGATACGTTAAATAAAGCCCCTGGAATGAATAGTATTGAACAGGGAATGGTTGGACTTAAAATTGGTGGAGATGTTACAACTTCTGCTGTGAAAACAGTAGGTTCTGTTGTCAACAGTGCTGGAATGACAGGTGCTCTTTCTGGGAATGGTGGATCAAGTGTAAATTTGCCAGTGTCTAAACCAACTTCTTGGGCTGCCATTGCCAGCAAGCCCGCAAAACCACAACCTAAAATGAAAACAAAAACTGGACCAGTAATTGGAGGAGCTTTGCCTCCACCACCTATAAAACATAATATGGACATAGGTACTTGGGACAATAAGGGTCCTGTGGCAAAAGTCCCTGCCCCTCAGCAGATCCCATCTCCTCAATCTGTCCCACAGCCACAGCAGCAAATTATTCAGCCTGTTCCAGCTCAGCCTCCACCATTGACCCAACCACAGTATCAAAGCCCTCAGCAGCCACCCCAGAATCGCTGGGTGGCTCCTCGCAACAGAAATGCAGCTTTTGGCCAAAGTGGAGGAACTAGTAATGATAGCAACTCAACTGGTAATACCCAGCCTAACTCTGTCCCAAGTGGTGAATCCCATCCTGTTCTTGAAAAACTGAAGGCTGCTCATAGCTATAACCCTAAAGATTTTGAATGGAACCTTAAAAATGGGCGTGTGTTCATAATAAAGAGCTATTCTGAGGATGATATTCATCGTTCCATTAAATATTCCATTTGGTGTAGCACAGAACATGGCAACAAACGCTTGGACAGTGCTTTCCGTTCCATGAATAGTAAGGGTCCAGTATACTTGCTGTTCAGTGTCAATGGCAGCGGACATTTCTGTGGAGTAGCAGAAATGAAATCACCTGTGGACTATGGCACCAGTGCAGGCGTCTGGTCTCAGGACAAATGGAAGGGGAAATTTGATGTCAAGTGGATCTTTGTGAAGGACGTGCCCAACAACCAGCTTAGACACATCAGGCTGGAGAACAATGACAACAAACCAGTTACAAACTCCCGTGACACACAGGAGGTGCCCTTAGAAAAAGCGAAACAAGTGCTTAAAATTATTGCTACGTACAAGCATACAACCTCCATCTTTGATGACTTTTCTCATTATGAAAAGCGTCAAGAGGAAGAAGAGGTAGTGCGGAAGGTAAGCTTGTTTTTCTTTCTTTCTTTCTTTTCATACATGCATACATTTTAAATATTGCTCTGGTGGAACATAAGTAGGGCTTGCATCTTTAGGGTGTGCGTAAATGGTCTTGGATATGTTTGACATTACAGAGAAGGGGATGGGGGAAACTTTCAGCCTTAACTTTTTCTAGTTGTCATTCTGGTTGTCAAGCCAAAAGTTAGCTTACTTTTAATGCTTATGTCCTATTCCGTTGGAATTTGAAAACTGATTTTAGGAGGTTAGTGGGATACAGAGATTGCTAGTTTCAAAGTTAGACCAAGTCAGTGTCACTTAGAGTATTTTTGCTTCTGTGTATGAGGTATCCCTCTAGTTACTGGTTGAATAATAATGCAGATCACAATTGATTCCCTTTGACATCCCCAGCAGTAAGTCCAAACTATTGTCTTTTCAGCTGGTAGTTTGAGAACAGAGTTGAGGAAACCTGTGTAGTGAAGCTTGTATTGCTGCTGCTTGAGTTGCACCTGTTTAGATAAATGAAGAACTTGGTATTTAGGACTCATGCCTTCTACCAGGTCTGAAAAACCACGGGACTTTGAATTGGTCCAGGATGGGGTAGTGGTAAGCAGGAAACCTCCAAAAGCTGGGAGACATATATATATATAGGGGGCATGTGTATTTAATGTTTTTATATGAATGTGTCATAAAATATTAGTCACCTTCATAGCCCTTACATCAGCCAGGACCAAGAATAGGGTCCAAAAGCTGTAACATCAGTCATTCCTATTCTGTAAAGCCATAGCATGTATAATATGGGTTTTAAGAGATGAGGTATGTGGGCTGAATCCAGCCCACAAAATCCTATCATCTAATCCCTAGTGCTGTCTGTGGGTCTTGGACCAGCCCCGACTCTGTACGCAGCATATGGCTCAGAGGGCAGGAGCTGGTATGTAAGTTGCACACCGCTCATGGGGCTGGTTCAGGGCACACAGCGTATGATGCTCTCACTGAACCACCGCTACGTGCTGAATCCGGGGCCAGTTTGGACTGGTCCCACAGACCAGCCCGAGGTGCTGGAGATAGTGTGCAGGGCTGATCTAGCATAGGTACCATGTATGTCACATGTCCTGGACTGGCCCTGTGTGCTGCCTGCAGTGTGTAGGACTAGCATTCACGCTGCATGCAGCACCCACATTGCACTGGCCCTGCATGCTGGTTCCAGCACGTGGTACTGGACTGTGGACCTGATCCCATCCTGCATCCCTCACCTGATCCATGGGTCCTGATGAGTTTGACACCCCTGAAATATAGGATTGTTAGGCTGAACTCTGACTGGAACTATGTACTACTTCCTGTACTTTGGTGGTTAAAGGGAACTGTTTGTTTGCCAACTTTGTATTACTTAAATGCACTTCAAAATCTGTTTTGAAGCACAATGCAAGTTCTGGAGGTAAAATGGAAGTCGCTGTACTAAAGGCTTTTATCTTATTGCCCCTTAAACAAACAACCCTCTCTCCCACCCTAAAGTACTTTAACTATCTGGATATAGCTTCCCCAGAAACACAGCAACATCCAGGGTTGAGAGAGCTATTCAGACTTCAGCTCTACACTTTCTGTCTAGCCACCTACAGTTTTAGGCCTGTTGTTACCTAGTCATGGTGGGAAGAAGTCTCAGTTCCCTGAATTCACAGCTTTTAACATGCTGTTCATGGTGTCCATGAAACAAAAAATGCCCTATTAGCAAACCTTTTTTTACTGAGAATTACTTGTTTCTTTAACATGATTACCACCTTCAGAAGGGGCAGTTCGATCCAGTGGGGTGGAGCTATGGACTAGAAATCGGGAAGCTTAGCTTGTGTTTCTTTGCCAAATACTCTGTGCATAAACTTAAGGAAGTCACTTATCCTTTCTGTGAATCCATACAAGGTTTAAAAAAAACAAAACAAAATTTGAAATGCCTCTTGCGTCAAGCATTGGAAATGGTTGGAGGCTGCCTGTTCCCAGGATTAAACATGTTTCTTCTTGAATGCTTAACCCTTGTTGGTCCTGTGCTCCTCAGGCCATATGCTGATATCTGAATTGAGTTCTCATTTGTAGTAGCTGATTATACTGGCACCAGACCCAATATTGAGCTGATCTCACCTCTATATTACTTTCATGTGGACTTCTGTTTTCCACATCAGTTTAAATATGTAATAAATTGTGCCTGAACCAGACCATTGCTTTCTAACAAGATTAGTTTCTCAACAATTATTGCATCTTATTTTCCACTTCACTTAATACTGAGGAAACTTTAGAACTCAGTTTAATGAATGATGCATTCAGGAAAAAAAACCCATGAAGTCTAATTAAATATTTTTCAGGCAATTCTTAACAGCTTACAAAACAAGGCTATGTGTAGGCCATTGGAGTAGACTGAGAAAGATAACAGATGCTACAGCAATAAAATATACCAGTAATGAATGATGCAGTGAAAGATAAATGATACTCTGACTGTATTGCAGTCTATGTAAAATTATATTCTGAGAAGAATAAAACATCTATTTTGACCTTCTGCATGTGAACAAATTGCATCAGTCAAGTAGCTTGCTGTAAAACTTTCCAATCAAAGTTTTCTTATTGGAGAGCACTTCCTGTTTAAATTCACATAGCTGATATCTAGATTTTTTACCATTCTTTGGACCTTGGAGCAAATATGAAATAAAGGAATCTTAGTGCCAATTAATAGTTTTTATTGTGGTCTAAAGGATTTGCTTTGTCTGTTTAATGTATATGTACCTATACAGTTTTGCCATGTTTTCAAAATGTTGTATCCTTTTGGTCATCTTACTTGGTTTGAGTCAAATCATTATTCAAATAGGTCTACATTTCCTTTTTAAAACATAATAAGTACATGAAGATAGGAATTTTAAAAATCCTTAAATTGGAAAAAATACTGAAATAGTTCATTTATTGCTGATGAAATCATTTTTTATTATAAGAAACAAGTTAAATTTATTTTTAGATAATTTTGCTGATGGGCAGTGTGGCTGTAACAGATTGATTTTTAAGGTCATGCACAGACTATATTCTTTAGGAATAAAAAAGCCATTTGCTGCTTATATTCCATCTGAAGTTAATCTAATTACTTTTCATGTTAACTTCAAAATGTCAAAGATTGACTTCAAGTGGGACCTGTACAGCTATGGTGTAATCTGCTTGGAAAAAATTTAGTCATAAGATTTAGTGCAGAAGATTCCCCTAGTGCTGTCTGCATTGCTTAAGATAAGCAATTGGTCTCTGTGGAATGAAGGAAGGATGCAGTGTTTTATGCATTAATACATGTTAGGAGGACAAGCTAAGTGCAGGTCCAGTAGCCCAAAATCCTGCTAAGAAGAAATGGAGAGTTGATTTATTCCAGAATATATAAGTATTTGGAAAAGTTGGCCAGATTCCTGTTCAGAGCCAATATACCATTGGTAATTGTGCCCAGAAAATGTGGTGGCAGTGTCCTGTATGATGATAAATTGTAATTCCAAAATATGGGATCAAGTTTCTTTAAATAAAATATATGGTAAACTTTACTGAGGTATGACTAAGGAGCTAATCATGTCTAAGAAATAAGGTAGTATATGATTTACAAAACTTTTCTTCATTATCAGAATAGATCACAATAGGAGAAGAATCTTGTTGCCTGTTGCATTGTTTATGTATTTGTTTTTTCTTGGAACAAATTTGGGGCACAGATTTTATAACACAAAATCTTTATAGATCAGACCATTAATGATTCTAGTTAGCCTGAGTCTCTAGTAACACAGCATGCTGCTGTCGTGAGGTTCAGAGATCAGTGGCTCAAATGCTCTAGGACAGTGGTTCTCAACCTTTTTTGTACCAGCACCCATTTTGGAACATCAACTGCCAGTCCTGACCCAGTGCCCTCACTCCTGACTCCCTGCCCCCAGGCCCTAGCCTCCCGGTGTTGTGGGGCAGGTGGCAGGTGTGTGGGGCATGGGGGGTCCCCAGGCAGCCCCTTGCAGGCTGGAGCTCTGCCAGCCTGCAAGAGAAAAGCTAGTTTCCCACATTTTTTCCTTTAAAAGAGAATCCATTTTTCAAGTTTGTTTGCAGCCCTTTCATATATATATATTCTTGTGACCCACGGGTTGAGAAATGCTAATCTAGGATAGAGAGCGTGACTGTATTCCATCCAGGAAGGTTATAGGTCCAGTGTCTCCAGACTGCCAGTTGTCTACTTGAGCCTCGTTGAGACTAGGATTTGAAAAACATTAGCTAGCCTCTACAGCAACTGAATGCAGGCTAGTCAGCATGTTCGAGACCTTCTGAAAGCACATCAGTTTGTCTGTATTAGGCTGTTTGTCTGCTGAGCTACTGCTTGATTTAGGAGCAGGTTGCATGCAGTCTTCCTTTTTTGATGGGCTCACCGTTTTAGAGCTTTTTTAGAATGGAGCAGTTTTGCCCTTCTCACAAAAATGCAGCTTTGTGCAGTTGCATTTTATAAGACAGGTGCTTCTGATGGTGTGTGTTTCTTGATTAAAGATGCTGTGTAAAGGTTTCTGTAGTGGTGTTTTCACAGCTATAGCAGAGAGGAGTGCACCTAGAGATTTAATAGACTCTTATCCCACTGACCTTGGCAAATAATGTTTAGCAAGAGGGTTTACGGTGCTTTCTGTGAGCAGTAAGGGCAGAACCGCGTCTGGTTCTTCTGTGGGGACAAAGGCTTCATCCTGCAGCATAAGTCTTCCTCCTTTTCTGCAACATTTCACCAGCTCTGGGCTAGAGATTGGTCAGTGTCTGTCCAAGTTGTCTAGCAGTGGAGAACTCATCTCCTCCATCCCTCCCAGCTTCCATTATTAACTCAGTGCCACATTTTGCCATTTGCCCTGGGCAAAGAGCAGTAGGTGTGAGAGGAGGTGAGTTGGAATTTCTTAGGGCAATGTGGCTTACTGGCTTGAGGGATAATTTGAGCTCTGATGTATCGGTGGTACCTCAGGCTGCCTGGGGTCCAGGTCTCCTTCCTAGAAGAGACTCCAGGTTACTGTGTGGAGTAATAGAATAAATCCAAGTTCTGCAACAAATCTGTCCTGTTTCTGTGCACGCACTTTTTGGCTACTGGCAGAACCTCTTACAACCATCTGCCTCCTATCTGTGTCCTTCAAATATAGGGCTGAAAGCTTGTGGAAAAGTCTCTTCTCTGGTCCTACAATACTTGAGAGTAAGAGTTTAGAAAGCCTAGCCTTTCCAAACCACCACTATATGCCTTTGCTTTGTGAAATGTGTGGAAGCCGCTGGGTGAATAGAAACAAAAGAAATGCAATACAGCAAAAAACATTAGAAAGGAGGTGGGTAAAGAACAGACTAGAAACATAGTAGTAACTGCTAGGACAGTGCAATGGAGAAGGGCACCTGCCATCATAAGATGGAGACCCTGATATACAGGCTGAGATCCAGTGCCTAGACTTGTTGGTTAGGGTTGGAAAATTGAGACGATGTATTATTCCAGGGTTGGCTAATAGCCATAACTTGTTTAAATCAAGTATATAAACACTGGTTATAGCTGCTGTCCTTAAGAAACAAATGTTGCTTTATTGACAGTTGATAAATAACCTAGTAAATTTAGAATCATAGAAAATGAGGCTTAGAAGGGATCTCAGGAAGTTGTTTAAGTCCAACCGCCTGCTCAAAGCAGAACCAGCCCCAACTACATCGTCCCAGCCAAGGCTTTGTCTAGCTGGGTCTTTAAAAACCTTAAAAGCTTCCACCACCTCTCTGGGTAACCTATTCCCATGCTTTACTTACTTTCCTGGTGAGGAAGTTTCTCCTAATATCTAACCTAAACTCCCCTTGCTGTAACTTAAGCCTATTGCTCTTTGTTGTCATCCGCCGCCACTGAGAACAGTCCAGCTCCATCCTCTGCAACCCCCCTGCAGGGAGCTGAAGGCTGCTATTCAATCCCCCCTCACTCTTCTCTTCTGCAGACTAAATAAGCCCAGTTGCCTCAGCCTCTTCTCACAAGTCATATGCCTTAGCCCCCAAACCATTTTTGTTGCCCTCCACCGAACTCTCTCCAACTTGTCCACCTCCTTTCTGTAGTGGGTGGGGGGGCCAAAACTGTACACAGGACTCCAGATGTGGCCTCACCCGTGCCAAAGAAAGGCATAATCACTTCCCTCAATCTGCTGGCAACGCTTCTACCAACGCAGCCTAGGATGCCAGTAGCCTTCTTGGCAAAAAGGGCACACTGCTGGCTCCTATTCAGCTTATTGTCCACTGTAACCCCCAGGTCCTTTTCTGCAGAGGTATCCTAGCCCTACCCTCCAGCATATCTACGACTCCCCCCAGGTTGGTGAATTTGTAAAGGAAAGGTTGTTGTAGGTGTTAAAATGACTTGTTGATCCTACAAACCACCTGTGTTTTAACTTGCCTCTTGGTTCGGTCTGTTCGTTATATAAATATACAGTAAAAATGAACCATTATAAATGGTCAGCTTGTTTTAAAATAGTTTGTTGCCTAAAGACTGAAACCTGCTTTTAAATGAGTTATAAATGCAGTTAGCTGGCCATGACAGTTGTTAAAATCTGTTCTGATTTTAACTAAGACTGAAGGCCCTGAGTAGACAAGGTTTTTTTGTGTTGGGGTGCACCAATAAACATTTTTTTTGGCCTATATCAATGACCAATTATTAACCAGCCATATTAGCCAATACTGATTTGATTGCCAATATCCCCCCCAGCAACTTGGAGAGCAGCTTCTAGCCAGTACATCTGTGCAGGAGAAGGGGGCATTGTAGATCAAGGCCCCCATGGTGAGGCTGGGAGTGGGGCTGGGGCTGCCCAACTGGGGCAGTGCACAGGACAGAGATGTCAGCAACTTGTCTGGGGGAGTGAGGGGGTGGCTCCAACTGCTGTGCGCACCCCGTGGGAGTCATGGGGGGCATGTGCCCACCAGATCAGTGCATGGGGTGAGGGCGGGCTGCCTGCTGGGGGGCTGGGCTGAGGCCCCTCCACCTGAAAATTTGCCGTATCCCCCCCTCCCAGCCCCACTGCCTGGAAGAGGCCGGTGCAGCCCCCAGCCCTGACCCTGCAGTGGCAGCCCACCCTTGCCCTGCGTGCAGATCCAGGGGGCATGTGGTCCCAAGCTTCCCCCAGGGGTGCACGCAGCAGCGGAAGGCACTGCCCACAGTTCTGCCCCGCACCCGGCCTTGCCACGGCTAGGCAGCCCCTATACCAGCCCCACTCTCCCCTCACTGTAGGGGTCTCTGTCTGCCCCCTCCCCCACACCCCTTTCCTCCCCACAGACTTATCAGCTGGACACTGGTCTCCATGCTGCTGGGCTACATTCCTGGCCACGTGTGTGCTGTGGCTGTGTGCATGCCCGCGGCATTTATCAGTGACATTATCGGCCACATCAGCCAAAAAAAAGCTGATCGCCAATAATGTCATTCTTCTTGTTCTTGGTGCCAATATGATATGGACCAGTGTATCAGTGCATCTCTATTTGTGTGTGTTGGTAAGAAATAGTTAGCACTGCGTGAATACAGGTAGATAGAAGGTCATGAAGTCAATAACGTGTGTAACTTTTGTTTGGAATATTTGCAGGCCTATTGCACACATTTAAAAAGAGGTTTAACATGCAGAAAAGTAGAAATCAGATTCTGGATGCCAGGTGGGAGCTCAGCCACTCATGTCATGCAATAAATGCTGTTAAACCCAGTAGGCATTTTAGTACAAAGCCACTGGTTGGACATGGCATTTATCTGCTTCTCCTTGGGGCCCACAGCAGTTTTTATAGTCATTCAAATATAATGCAGAGGCATGTAATCTGCCTTAAGGAAACTTAGTGGTGTGAAAAGGAAACAGTTACAAAGTAAGATATAGCAGTTCTGACTTAGCAAGGAAGGAAAAGCAGATATCAAACTATTAGCATTTAGTTGTTAAAGACAGTCATGTTGACGCAGTAACAGGGTAACTGGGAACTTCACATTGTGAATATCTGAATTTACACCAAAAAAAACCATTTGCTAGGATGCCCTCCACTTTTTTTTCTGTTAAGGCAGGTACTACAAAGCCCCTCCTCGTTTTCCTTGCTGCTGCCTAATAGTAATCCCTGGTCTACTCTTTCCACTGAAGAAGACGGGAGAATGCAGTTGCTTCTTTATCTGTGAAAGGGTCTCAGCTTCAAAGACTGTCTTCTGCCTTTGGGTAGGTGAGGACTGCCCATACTAGATCTGAGGGCTGTCTCGGTGTTTCCCTTGACTTGGTGGATAACCAGAGCTTGGAGTGGAACTTCAAGGAGCCACTGTCTTTCCCGTCTTCTGCTATACAGTGCCAGTGCCAGAAGTTCTTGTTGAGCGTATTAAGCCAGACCCATTTCACAAGGGCAGAAAAGTGCTGCTTGTGTGTGTGTGTTTCCATCCTTTTTTCCTGACTTTGAAGTCTCGAGATTCCTTTCCAAGCAGAGTAGTCGGAGGTAGAAACGGTTTGCAGTAAAACTATCAAGGAGCCAAAGTTCTCTTTTGCTTTCAGCGAAACTTAGGCTGCTAAATCCCCTATGCACTGGAGGAAAATTTTAGCTGTTGATTGTAGTCTTTTAATCTACTGACGTTTATCCACCCCTTACCAACCCAGCTGCTGTTAGCAATAGCTAACATGATCCAGAAATCTCAAAATATTGCAAATCTTTATCCTGCACTTGAAGTCCTTCATTGTGACCCTCATCTGGAGCCCCTTTTGAGCCTCGGTGACTAATATAGCAGCTATGCCTCGCTGCCCGTGCTTTGCTCGCATTTGGTCCCTCCGCTTGAAATGTTGATGTGTTCTTCTGATTTGTGTCATGTGACATAATTGGTGTTGTAATTTTATGAGCAGAATATAGATGTCATTTGGAGACATTTTCCCAAACTCTTAGCTGCTGTGTCACTGAACTTCTTCATATGATTAAATTATCTTGTTTTTGTGCTTTTCTCTTCGCAGGAACGTCAGAATCGAAACAAACAATAAGAATAAACCCAGTTTGCTATATATACTAGAACTGATACTAAATTCGACTCTGAAAAAACAAAAAGTATTCTGGTGCTGTATCCTGGCATCAGGACAAACTAAAGCTTTCAGCTCCAATATATATTCTCGTGCAGGGGAAATTAAGTTGTTGCATCTTTAAGTACATTGTAGTTTATTTTTGCCCATGTGGATCTGCATTCATTTGTATCTTTTCTATGTACAATGCTGTAGAAACAATTAATAAAGGTGCATCTGGTTTTGTTTTTTTAAGTTGGTAACCAATTATACTGACCTAATATGAAACTATAAATGAGCATCCTAAAATGTTAGTGTTTCCCAAAGACTTTTTGACACAAATTATGTTCCAAGTCGGATATTCATAATTTTTACATGTGACGCATCCTTTCTCTTCACCCCATGCCCTGTTTCTTCATGGCAAGTATAAGAAACCATGCATTGTTTTCTTTTTCTTTCTTTTTCTTCTTTTTTTTGGTCACTTTAACAATTTTGTTTGAGATACTGCACTTCAGAATATTAAAATCAAAAAGTTCAGATCACTTTGTGCAATTACAATACCTTTTTATTTTAAGTGTACAATTATACTTTTCAAATGAAAACATGTCATTTTGGTTTTTTTCTGTCTAGTAGGAAATCAAATTGTCGGTGAAATTTCTATCTCTCTGAAAATATTTCTCTTCCACATTCTGTTAACCAGTGCTTCAGTGTGCATTTGTTAAACCATATCCTGCAGAGAGTGAGATGCCTTCTCTCAGCCATAATTCTGCTTTATTGTTTCTGTAGCTTAATTATTAAATAATAATGTGATGCTATCAACATTGCAGGGTTTTTGGACAATGTGTTTAAACCTGTTTGGGCTTTCAGGTGTTATTAGTTAATTGCAGATCATTTTTAATCTTTCCCTTTCCTCTTCCCCAAATCCTAATGCCATTTAAAGTTTTGTTTTGTTTTGTTTTATTTTATTTTGTTTTTTATACCAATAATGCTGAGCTTTAACGTAGGAACTAATAGTACGGACAGTATGATGGATGATGCCTCAGATGTTTAAAATTGACAGTGTGTATGTCTAATTTTTTTCTGTTGGATGAGTAAAAAAACTGTTTTAAGAAACTGAATTTGCTGTCATGTTTTTGTGGAATGAGGGAACCGTCGAAGAACTCGTCACCAACTGGAGTTTCTATTAAGCATGAAAATGGTGCTCATGCCTGTTGCTCTAGCACACTGAATCTGCACGTGTTTATTGTAGAGGATCTTTTACTATATTAGAAAGCAGATATCTTCTTCTGAAAACTATTTACTCCGAAAGGACCTCCAATTTAAATAAAGTTTAAGCTGTATCATTTAGACTTGTATTTAGAACGTATAACTCTGTCTCTGGACTGTTACTGCCTGTACGGAGTAATGGACAGCATCAGATTAACTTTTTCCTCTAGGAGAATACAAGCCTTAATAAACAATACATATTTAGCAAGTTTGATGTCATTTTCATTTTTTCCCCCTATATTCAAATGCCTGCCTGTATTATAACAGTATTCTACAAACTTATGAGCCAGAGGACCAATTAGAGTAGTTAATATATGGATCGAACGGGAACATCTAACACTCTGGCAGGGATCTTTTCTGGGAATCTCATTAAAACATCTAAGTTACTCTGAATATCTCTTTTGAGTATGTAGTGTGCATTTGCATTTCTGGCAAATTTTTCATTCTGCTTGTTTGCTAGAGAAACTCAAGGAATTGAAAACTGGCTTACAGGATTCACTGGTTATGGAAGGTAGTCAGCAGGTTCCTTAGCCTACTGGCTTCTGCAGCTGGGTTTTGCTCCCTGAGGTGCTTCTCAGCCAGTCCTCAAGTAAAACACAAACAAAACCTGCCCAAGCCAACTGGCCATAGAGTAGGGTGAAGACCAAGAGCAGGACTTCTGCCCAAAGGCCTTTCTCATTTTGAGTCCAGCATGGTACTTCTCATGTTCCAGTTCAGCCTCAAGGCAGTTCCTGATGAGATTGCCAACCTGGTGTCTACCACCCCACACCTGGAGCCCTGCAGGCAGTGTCTAGTGAAGCTGCTCCAAGGCTATTGCCTCTACTGTCTCTGTGGCTGAGCAGGACTGTGGTTTCAACCGTTGCATACACAAGTCCTTAAGGTGCTGGGCACTGGCTCAGGGCTGGGAGTTCAAGTTAAATGGCTCTTCCCAAAACCAGTGCCAGTATGGCTCTTCCACAAGATCAGTGCAATCTAAAACAGCAGCCTTGAGGGTACCATAATCCCATGTGGCCTTGGTCCCCAGGACTCGGTATGTAACGTGATCTTCCCTTGTCAGGTAAGAGTCTAGCTTAATGGTTCACTGCTTCCAGTGCCACTGGTATGTTCCAGCCACCTGCTCAAAGTTTTCTAGAAAGGCTTTAAGATAGTTTATCTGGCTCTGTCTTTGTGAGGTCCTCCCCCCCCGCACCTTTTTGGTTGGGCTAGGGTCATAGCACCTACCTATGCTTCTGGTCCAGTAGCCAAAGCATAAGGCACTGCTGGTCCTTTTGCAACGTCTGTTGAGGCTGGAGCTGCTGTTGCTGCTGCCATTGCAATGGCTAGAGGGGCTACGCAAAGGCTTTGCTATCCATTTCAGTTGCTGCCTGAGGCTGTCCACGTTCTCCACACCCTATAAGCAGGTTCTCTAGCCCACTGGTTTCTGTAAGTGGGTTCTGCTCCCTGAGGAGCTCCTCAGCCAGTCTCCTAAATAAAACACACATTTTTAAACAAGCAAAACAATTACCTGGTTCTATCCTGGAAACTGGGAAGCGAGCCCCTTTGCTCTGGTCCTTCCATGGAGCAGGCTGTTCAGCTCGGCCTGCTTCCTTTCTCTGGGAAAATTGTTCCCTCGCTGCTTATCTGCTGTCGTCCCTGGGGTTTTAAGCTCCTGGTAGTATGCTCCCTCAGTATCCAAATGCCCCATAGCTGCTTCCTCAACAGGGCAGATTATTGCCATTTAAAGGGATAAGTCATCCCATTACAGAAGGATATTACAACACTGGATCAGTGTAAAGAGAGTAACTTTCAAAATTAGAAATGCATCCAAATAATACCCTGTGGCTGTGGCCTCCTTGTACTTGCTGTTTCTCAATTCCTAATCCTCCAGAATTTAACCTGGTCTTACTTAGAAGGCTGCTTTTTCTGTAAATGAAGTGTTCCTGTAGGTTTTAGTGGCATCCTGCAGTGGAGCAACGTTATCCTCACCCCATCAGATGGACTCTGACAACCAGTTGTTGCACAGGTAGAGTGCAGTTCTGTTTAGTTTTTAGCGATCGGACTTCGTGGTATTACATATCTTTAATTTCCCATAAAAATTACACGTTATCACTTGGACTCCATTGCTAATCTGTTATCTGTCAAAACCAATAACAGTAGCCTGGTTTCTGACACAAGTAGAAAATCCTTTGCACTCTATCCCATTTGTGGGCATCACAAAAGTTGCACTCTGCAATGTGGTATGACAGGTTTATCTCTCTGATATTGCAAAGGACTGCAATAAGGAGCATTGGGGACTGCATTGTACAGGACTAGCTAGCTAAGAATGGGGAGAGCAAACTTCAAAAGTGTAAAGTTCAAAGCATCAGCTTAATGCCAACTTTATTGTGTGCAGCACTTAATTAGCTCTGATTCTAGAAGAGTGAATTTGTAAATGCTGATCAAGCTGTGTGCATGCATCTTCTGGTTATAGATGTATTCTGTTAGGCATTTGTTTCAGTTTTGGTTTCCCCAGCTTCAGTTAAGTGCAAGGGAAATACCAACAGCTTAAACATCTACAGTAACCTACTGTCACATGCTTCTCTAATTAACTTCCAGAACCATGCATACTTATTTTGAGATTTGCACTTTGAAGCGACTCCCCTTTGAAAGGATTAATTTTAACCAGGTCCTGTGGAATAAGCAGACACAGCATTTGCCTGCAGGGTATTTGACTTCAAGCACAGCCAATGATTCAACTTTAACCTGGCACATTGTTTTAAATAGTTCTGAAAGGTGTGTAAAGAATGAGGGAAAGTTTCCAGGTCTCTGCTGTAACCAGGGGAAATCACAGCAGCACACCTTCCATGTTCACAGCCGATGTGTTTGTAGACACACAAAGCTAGAAGAAAAGTAAACTGTCTTTGAACTGTACCAGATGGAGCATTACCATCCTTTCAGCTATTTTAATAGTGGTGACGCTTGATTTTGATGGGGGATCGCTTTATGTGATAGGGACTTACACGACAAATAACAAACCCACACTGTTCCCATTGTAATATAACCCAAACAGATGAGTGAAGTGGAGAGTGACAGTTATGCTGTTCATCACACAATGTATGTACTTGTAAGCTATGGTGACAGTTTTGTTACCCCTAGCTTTTTTTTGTCCAGGATGGGTGGGATGTCCAAGGGCCACCCTGTCCTCATGAGCTCCTGATTTAAAACTTGTGATTTGTAGCTTTCCAGCAACCTACATTTTAATTTCACCTAAAGGGTTTTTGTTAAAGCAGCCATATTACTAAAGTTTATTCTGCTAAATATAACACTTTCCTGTCAATATTGGCTGTTTTGATGTGTCCCACTGACTTCTTTCAGAGCCATGCAATGGGATTAGGCATCTTTGTATTAAGCTAAACACAGTTGCAGCAGGGAGGAGATCCTTTACGTGAAGCACCATGCCTTTTCCCTGCCAATGTAATTGTACAGGAGTTATCTCCCAGATTAACTGCAGGAGAGAAAAGGAAAATTTCAGCTACTGCAGTCATTAAAGCAATCTAGTATGTCTGGGTTAGTACATGAAATGCTAGAAAATGGTCAGTTCTCCTTGTTCTGCCAAAAAAGAAAAAATGCCTCGTCCAGTGATAGTACCGGCTTCTAGTGCAGAAGTTAAGGAAAAGAGCAGCAGGGAAGGGTACATTCAGGTACAAATAAAATTCCTGATGTGAATTTAAAGCTACACACAAAAAACAGTGATTGTAGTGAACTAGTTTCATTTATATTTCCTATATCGGGCAAACTGTTTAGTTTAGAAAAATCTCTGGTTTCTAAGACTCCCTGCAGCAGCGTGCTGTTTGTGGCCTGTTTAGGGAAAAGGGTGTTGCCATTTTTGGAAAAGTGCAGGATTATAATCGGGGACACCAGGGTTTTCCAGCAATGCTCCACAGCTGCATGGTTTGATGTACCAACGACATCAACTTGCTTCTCTATGTTGGTGCTTTATAATATGTTGCTCTTAACTAGCACTTCTCATATACATGTTCCTTTATGAAGAAGGTGCTTGTCATTATTTTCCTCTCTTTTGGGGGCAGGAGGAGAAGGGAAATTAAGGATCAGGGTTAGAGGGGTGTAGTGACTTGACAAGAGGTGATAAAGCTCCCGTGGGCTATGGAATGGCGCTCTGCCCATTGAACTGTTTTGTAGCTATCATCGATTTCCAGAGATGCTTCCACTTAGTCCATTTATCTTCAGAAATCTCCTACTGAAAACCCCTCCAGCCAAAAATGTATTATGTGACCTTTATGTCTCCTCTGAGAACTTTGATTGCACCCAAAAGCTTGCAAAGAACTTTTTTCCAACTAAGTTGGTTTAATAAAAGATATCGCAGGTACCCAAATAGTCTTGTCCGCCTAAGTCATTAGACCAACACAGCTACAACCAAAAACCCAGTAATATATTTTTTAATTTTATTACTAGGATAGACTATACGTTGGAGTAGGATTTTTTAAATTCATAATGTGGATTTTGTCCCTATATTGTCCCATAGGCTCACTGTTGATGTTTTAAATAGGAGTAATTCGAGTGCGCTGTTGCAGACCTCTTTGAGGGACATGGGGAGACTCCCTTTAAAGTATGTTGCTGCCTCTGGTTTTTTTCTTAATTTCCCAGCTCTTCCTCCTCTTTGACTACTGAAGTGAATGTCTGACCATCTGTGGTAGACCTTGAGGTTTTAATAGGCAGTTTGTTCAGCAAATAGAAGTTTTCAGAGCTGGTATTTGAACAACCCTAGCCACATCTTGTTTAGTTTTTTAATCCATGTTATTGCTGTCTGTCATCTTGCCATTACTTGGCTCATAACATACCAAAGGAATTCTTTTTTACCTGCAATGTTGCCATGGCAATAGACTGTTGGTAATGCTTTCACTAAATACATTCTTAATTGCTGTGCAACTACAGCTAATGTTAGATGTTGGTTGCAGCAGGGAAGACAGCCCTGATGGCAGGCAAATGCTTGTCTTGACAATTGATTTTCCCCAGGCACTGTTAAAATACTAAATGCTGTTAAAAAAACTCCAGCTATTACCAAATGCAAGGTATGCTTTGCAAGCTTACAGGCAGCTTGCCTTATTTTTGGTTTTTCTGTCCTAGGGAGGGAGAAACAGGAGGAAGATAAGCAGATTAGTGATAAGAATCATTTCTTTGTGTATATGCTAGTAAGCTTTTCAAGGTCCTTTGCATATTTTGCTTAGTCCC